GTAACCATAATTTTATTGGATGTAGTTTTATATTTCTCTACAATACAGAATCATCTCTATGGAAGTATATAATAAAAATCTGTTCTTGGAATTATCATTGGCCAGGACCTGAAGGTGTCAATCTAGAGTGCATTTAAGACTTCTTCATCTCAATTGGAAAAGAAATCGGCTTCAGGATATATGAATTAGTTTTCTTATATCGGAATTACATTCTCTTTTTTGGATTTCCAGGATGCTATAAGATGTGCAGATGACTACTTCAGATTTCTATGCAAATGGATATTGGACAAATGTTCAACAACAGATGTGGACTTTTTAACAAAACGAACTAACAAGACCATTATCAAACGTCTTCAATCTCATATGGAAAATTCTAGTGAAAAAATCACCTACAAAGAAGTGGTGGATAGGTTAAGAAAGGTAAGTGAGACATCCTTTGTATGTAATAGATTAGAAAACACACCCAATTTTACTTCTCTGGCAATTTCTCTCCTAAAAAATTCACTTCTTGCCAACTAGGTCACAGATAAAGAATTTGAAACAGAACTTCAGTGGGGTGTTGCTTTAACGGCAGAACATCTGAGGTAGGTATACTAAAGTGTTAAGTTGGAGATTCCACATAAGAAAATCCTAAACAAGAGGAAGTGAGGGTTCTTGATCTTGTTGGTTCTTACTAACTATTTACTCAATGGCAGTTACTTGGCTGATGTGATCTATAAGAAGCGTGTAATCATTTACAATTATCCAAAAGAATTGAAACCATTTTATGTACGCTTGAATGATGATCGATGTACAGTTGCAGCATTTGAAATGGTTCTACCCGAGGTAAGCCAAAGTCTTTCTAAAGATTGAATGGATCTTAAAATGAAATGGGCTGGACAAAATTTAAGTGGATAATTTAGAATAGCAATAAAGCTAAATAGCATAACAATGCAGGTTGGGACACTGATTACAGGCAGCCAAAATGAAGAACGCGTCAATATGCTAAATGCAAGGTAAATCATTCTATGCTTTTCTTCTTTTATCATCCTTTGTAGTTGGTCCATTAGAACTAATTTGATTTATTTTAAAAAAAGAAGTACCTAGCCAATTGAGCAAATTTTAGGCTCCAACAACCCTCGTGACCATTGTGGAAATTATGCATGGAAATCCTCTATATATAATTTTTTGTTTTTTTACTCCATCACTTTGGTTGTATGAGTTATATCTTCTGTCCGCATCATGGTAACTGGTAAGTAATTTTGGTGGTTGATAGCGAGTTAAAATTATATGTGCTTTGTAAACCAGGCCTGGAGAATGGATATGACTGATCTTTAGCTCAATTGACTTCTCTGCTCTATAGAACCTATTAAGGTTTAATTATGCGTGTCAGATGACACAAAGGAATTTATGATATTAGAGGCCAACTTTGGCTAAGCTGCGAATATGTAGACCCTGATATAGCAGCTAATAGCTGAAGTCTTCTAAATCTGAGATAGAAGCCTTACACTACTAATATTGTGTATTCAGGATCAAGGAATTCAAACTACCAAGAGATCAGTACGAATGGTATCTAGATCTTCGCAGGCATGGTACAGTCAAGCACTCTGGGTTCAGCCTAGCATTTGACCTTATGGTTCTCCTTACAACTGGCCTAACCGATGTTAAGGATACAATCCCATTCCTAAGAAGTGATAGCAAAAAGATCAATAATTAACTCAAAAAATAGGGATGGCCCGTGTTCAAACTGCTTTCTGTTTCCAATGGAATGAAAATTTTATGTAAATATATATACGGGAACGCAACTTGATACAGATACCTTGTATCTAGAAATTAAGTTCTTGATCCCAAATAGACAAATTGATGTAACCACAGAAATTCATAAATGAAATGAAATTATTCGTGAATCATTTAAAGAAACTCATTTTGGGATATATAGCATTCTGCTTTTCAAATCTATGGATACAACACCATCACCTCAGTAGTTGCAGATGAAGTATCATTTGGATCTAGTGGAAAGAAAAATGGATAGAGCTCATACCGGACATAACAACTACTATACAGGACGCGGCATCCCTTGCTGTTGATGCAGAAATTTGGGAAATTCCCAACTGCAATAGCCAAGCACTGAGCACAATCTATCTGAGACAGATCCCTAGTGCACTGCACCAATGCATAAAGCGTCACAAATGGTGACAGTTTAGTCTTGCCTTTCCCAAGCCCTTCATTCTCAGGCATCACAGCTTCTGATCTAATTTTATCCATCAGAGCTCCGAGTTGAGGATTAAAGTTTTCAGGATCGGTAACATTGTCAACATTGCGGTATAATATACCTAAAGATGTGTCAACTTCTCCTATAAAATTTACTTTGTTATACCGTAGAAAGCAGAAGTCATACCATATCCTTGCATCAGCCTGGTTAGGACAACGTTCACGGATTTGCTTTGCCGCATCTTGTATGCAACTGGAACAGTCTTTACTGCTTACATCTCCTCTGCACTGAGCGAGGCCATAGACTTCATCAGGATCATTCCCGTAGGAGGTAGCAATATACGCAGTTGAGGCAGCTTTTGTGACCACTTCAGCCAACAAGTTATCAATGTTTGCTGATATCTTGCTATTGCTACCTATGTTGGTGTCCTCATTGCAGAACTGCCCCAAAGGATCTACTGCCCTGCAAATGCATAGAAATAGTAAGGGAAGAAGACTGTATAACAAGTTCATTTTTGGTTTGCTATTGAGCATTGAGTTGAAGCATTCAAGCTTTTATTAATGGTCCTACGGTGGACGAGACAGGTGCAGACATTGTTGAATATTGTCTGCTTGAGTGGAAGAAAACAAGAGCATTATTTCTAGAAAGTCTTTCCCAAGTTTGTGTTTTTTTCCACATTTTTATTTACATGATTATACCCAAAAAGTTATGACTTAGTTGATAAGGGAGTTTGCTCCCCACCTTATTGATCAAGATTCAATTCCTTAAGCAAACTAATAAAGAAATAATTCCCCATGAACTCTTTAGTTTTGGTGTGGATAACTTGCTTTTAATCAAATCAAGAATGAATTAGTCTCAAAATGTATACAAATTGACTAAGAGACACCTATAACTCTAAACTAAAAAAAGAAATAAAAATTCAAGATGATTTATTGTACAGGTTTGCAAGTTGATGATGGTCCATTTTCAATAGTTCTCAACACCAAACTATGAATATATTGCTTGCTACCAATAATCTATACAGTCCTATGACCCAAGAGTATGTATTCACTATTGCATCCACTCTTGGAAGATTGGATTCTAGTCATACTCCACCTTCTAATCTTTTATTATTTTTTTTATATTTGTTTTTTTGCCAATTAGTCTACCTTTTAATCAAGATATGCTCCCATTTGTGAACCAAGGTCTTGTATGATAATTTGTTTTCCATTACAAGTTATTGTTGAAACATCAAATTAAAGTGAGATTATTTAAGAAAATGTGCAAATAAAAATATCAACTTTGCACTTATTTCTATTTAAGAATGTTAATTTTGTTGGTTTGTAAATAAGGATATTAATTTTAAACTTTTTTTTAATTTAAGAATATCAACTTTTAACATTTCTATTTAAAGATACTAATTTTTAACTTTTTCTATTTAAAGGTTAATTGAATGATAATGTTGATGCGACAAACAAACTTTTTAACTGAAATGTTAAAAGTTGATATCCTTAAATAAAAAAAGTTGGAAGTTGACATCTTTAAATAAAAAAAATTGAAAGTTGATATCTGTAAGTAAAAAAGTTAAAAGTCAATATCTCTCTTTAGAAACTAGCAAGATTAACATTCTTAAATAGAAAATAATGCAAAGTTGATATTTTTATTTGGACATTTTCACAAGATTGTTTTAGGAGATCTTTTAATCTTAGAGGCTCAATTCCTTTCTTGTATTTGGATTTATTGATTTAAGACTTTTCGCTCCTAATAAATTGTTAATCTTTTGAAACCTATAATTACATTTAACTTTATACTTAAGTTTTTTTAGTACTAAACCTCGGATATCCAAAAGTAACATTGGATCCTAATTAATCTAAAGTTAAGCCATGTTGGACCCTATAAAGGAAGATGCTCTCCCAATGCTAGTCTCTCCATTTACAAGACTCGATCTTAAAACCTTATGTAAGGGAACCAAGCTCTTTCCATTTGAATCAATATGTTGTTAGTAACTTTATACTTAATTTAAATGATAGTATATGTTTTTATTTTCAAATGTATTAAGTTGAAGCTTGAACTTTTTCAAAATTTACAATTAAAATTCTTAGAATTGAATCACTAACATAAATTCTCCACAAATAAAAATGATGATATATGAATCCAAGCTCAAGATTGATAAGGGTTGAGTAGCATAAATGACCTAGAAAGCAAATTTGAAGAGAAAATACTCACAAAATTAAAAAACTCTCTGATACTTAAGTCAACAATATTAAACTGGCTTGAGAAAGCATGTGGGGAAAAGGGAAATAAGTATCTTTGTAGTGTGTGGCATATATAACTTAAGCCTTTGGGATGTCTCATGTCGCCATATTATTGGACCTCCCAAATCCTTCACAATGCACTAGAGCTTTTTGGAGGATAATGCATGTGCAACCCTTTGTGCTTCGACCTTTAGACCTTTATAGTTATTGTGGGCTTGTATATTACCATCCCACAGAAGAAGAATGCAAAGATCGAAGAATGCAAAGATCAAAGTATGTGAAGGTCAATGTTATAGAACATCAAAGAATGTGGAGAACAAAGGCATAGAACATCAAAGAGCATGAAGATTCTACTACTAGTAGAATGGGAAATGTGAATTAAAAAGTGCCAATCACTCAAAATTAATCTTATTAGATAGGAAAAAAAAAAAAAACTATTTCACTGTTAGCTATTAGGGCTTTTCTCTTTTTTGATGGGTGAGTACATCACTTAGGTAATCTCCCTATTTTGAGGGGTACTTCTCCTTGCCTTTCTCTCCACTATCCCTTTATACCTCTTTAGAAGTTTCTCTATTCTCCTCTCTTTTCCCCCTTTTCCCTTTCTTTTGTTCTTGCATTCTTTTGGTTTTAGCCCTAACCCTTCCTTTGTGTTGATTAATTATGGAGAGTGAAGGTATTAGCACTTGAGGTGACTTTAAGAGAAGGGGCTAGGGTTTATGGTGGTGAGATTGTTGACCTTGGGGTGAAGAGTTGCAATTGGTGGTTTGTAGATTATTGGAAGCCTACTGACACTAGGCAGTTTTGTGGTTAAGGCTTATGATTGGCTTATAGGGTTGAGGTGTTGATCTTGGGTCTTGGTAGCCAAGTTCCAAGTGATTATCCAAGGCTATAGTTGGGTTTGTGACGTTGGAATGGAAGGTAATTGACATTGGCACATTGGAAAACTAAAGCACCAATTTTGAAGGGAAAAGAGATTAGAACCATTCGTGAGATGAGCAAGCATGTATTGGATGAAAGGATACTACTTGCCCTTTGGGATAAATGTTTATGGATGTGGTAAGGCTATCAATGGGTGGGGACTGTTAATAGTCGAAGTAATTACTCTCTCCTAAAGTTGGTATAACAGTTGAAAATGTCTAATAGCTCAGAATGCTTGCAATAACCTTCTTCCTGATGTTTACATTAGTAGCTTCTAGTGGCGAAGCCAGGATTTAGGATGGGGGGCCAAAATTTTGTGGACAATTAAATCAAATTTAAGTAAAGTATTAGTTGTTCGATTTGTTTTAATTGTGTTAATTTAACCTTTTTCTTTATTTTGACTTCTTGATTTTGTTTAGCAAATAAATGACAATTGAAAATTTTTTTCCTCCTAAAGACAGTGTTTTTTCAATATTTTCCCTTCAATCAAAATTTTTTTTCAATTGTTACTAGTTTGTTATATAAAATCATCAAGTTGTTTAATATAAAGTTGATGGAGTAGGAAAACTAAGTACCATAAGGAGTAATAAATAGTTATAAAGTTATAAACTTGTGTCTAAAATCAAAGGGAAATACAAAATCAAAGGAAAATGATTTATAGACAATCTTCTTATACTACTTTTTTGTCTAACCTTATATGTTATTTAAATAATTAATTCTTTTTATTTATTTGGAATCCATGATATTGAGTACATCTATTTATTTAATAAAATTTAAAAGTTGTACTAAAAAGCTATCCATATATTACTATCCAAAACCAAACTTGACCATATACTCAATGTGAAATATATAGTACATTGGAATTTTAGATAATTAGTGAATAATTATCTAGTTATATTTGGGGGGGAAAAGCATAGAATAAAACCTCCCTAAAAAATATGTAATAAATTTAGATACATATAAAAAATTAGTATAGCAAATAACAAAGTACAATAAGTAGTTTGTCTCAATAAAAAATTGTGAGTTAGAAGTAAAGTTTTAATATTTGACTTAGAACAAAATATTGGTGACTAAAATAAATATTTTCGACTAATTTTAAGCACTACAAAGGTGATGATCCCAGGTTTTTCCAACAAGAAAACAAGAGGAAGGACAAGGTGAAGAAATGTCAGAAGTTTAAAGTTTTATTACCAAGTTTTTGGTTAAAAATATTAAAAATTAAAAGAAATTTTTATATTTAATAGATTGGCCTTAAAGAATTACTAATTGTAATATCAATATTTTGTTTTGAATTTAACAACAAGATTTATAAAAAGATTAATGATAATTATTTTCATAAATATTAAGAATAATTAAGTAGATAAAATAAAATTTAAAGATGAAATCTTTAAATTATAAATTTTGAATACTAATTTTAAAAGTTTTCAAAAAAACCAAAGGGGCCATAGCTCCTAGTCTCTTTGTGGCTCTCCACTAGTAGCTTTGTTTATATCTATACAGTATTTGTTAATGCAATTTCTAAATGCAAATAGCTTTTTATATTTAATTATTTATGTCTGTTATGACATAATTAAGTTTGTATTTAATGCTCTAATATATACTTTTGATTTGGGTATGGATGCCATAATATAGAAATTCATATATAATATTGACTTTGTTTATTCTAATGCAATCCTTATTTTCTATCAAAATAATTAATTTTATTCAACAAAGAAATCTCAAGAATGAGTCAATGAAGACCAAGAAATTTCATTTACAACCACAATGTTTTATTAAAGATTTTTCTAACATGTACATGAAAGAAATAATTAAATATTTTTTCTATTAATTAATATGAAAAAATAAAAAAATAAATTTTATTTTCAATACTAATATTATTGGATGTTTTTAATTAAGTAATTTATAAAATTAATGTTAATTTTTTTATTAAATTAATAAGATTTGCCTAAATCTATGCCTTTAAAGTACTTTCATTGTATTTTTTTTCAATTAATTTAAAAGAAAAAAAATACAAAATCTAATTTTATTTTAATACCAATAATATATATAATTTTAATTAAGAGATTAATAAAATTAAAGTGGGTATTTATTAATTTTTTTTATAATACTTAATTAAAAAAATATAATCAAATTTGTGTTTTTAAGGGCGTTTATTAAAAAAACTCATTAATAAAAAATGTATCAATAAGTGAAGAGCGTGGAAATCATGGAGCATTAAAATTTTGTCAAGGTCAAAGTCTCCAAGTAAGAAAATCGGACCAAAGGCCGTCCCCAGTTGTTCAATATTTTGGAAGCAATCATGCAACCATTTATTTTGGGAAAAGAAAGCATTAAAGAATCTTCGAGAGAGAAAATAAAGTTGAAGGAAAAGTCTCAAAGGTCTGATCTTATTAATATAATTTACATTTTTTGGTTGGGCAAACTAGCATGTAGCTCAATGGCTACATCTCTTTGGAGAAAGTAGTGGGGGAGTGACACCAACTACTAAATTTAAACGCTTGTAATCCAAATAAAAATGTTTTGGTTTATTTTGAGTACGTCTTTTTTCTTTTTTTTTTGGCTAATTAACCTCTTTGAATAATCTGGATCTTCGCTCTCTACCTTAGGAAAATTTATTTACAATTGATTAATCGATCGAGGGATTACTTCAAATTGAAAATCCAATCAAAGCAAAATGTTTTTTTTTTTAATACATAGATAATTAATTACTTGATATTAAAAGAATTTCAATTTTCAATATCTCAAATAAATACTTTTAAGTTAGTAAGTCTCCACTCACTTACTCTCTTGTTAGTGGCAATCTACATACTATAGAAGCTTACGACTCATTCTCCTGAAATTCTCAACAACTAGGTCTGATAGGATGTGGCACGGAAGATCAGTGGCTTCGTTGGCTTTCTGGGATTTTCCAGTTGTTTGGGTTTCTTCATTTACTTCGTAGTGATGTTTTCATCATATTCAGATTGCTATCTCATGATTTCAAGCTTGTTTTACGAGTTATGCCAATGGATTTATGAAGGATTGGTTATGATGCTGTGTGGGGAGTTTTTCTGGAAACTGTGAATGTGCATATTCTTTGTGTTAAGTATAGTTAGTTCCTCATTAACATAGTATTGATGCAGTTAGTCTCGTATTATCTATTTGGGGAAGATGCTGCAAATATTATATATGTTTTGGATCCTATGTCTTTTGCTGATTTCTCAATCCCCATGGCGTTTTTATTAATGGTTGTCATGTGTGGGAAGATTGCCCCGAAAAACATTGAATATATATACTCAGATTGTGTGGTACGTATTTCTTATCAAGGCAACTGAATCTATTGCAGTAAAGTAGGAAACTGAATCTGTTGCAGAAAAGTAATTACCCAGGATTGTATATTTCCAATTAATGTGTATCTTAGATCTTATTCTAGTATTATTAGAATTTGTGTATACAGTAGGACAATCTTGTATATAAACACATCTTGTATGGCTGAATAATACACACAGAAACAGAGTTTCATACCAGTCTGTTGCTATAGTGGTATCAGAGCCCAACTCCAACAAGACCTCTGACCTCTTTACTTCCCAACCATGGACTCCGACAGCAGCTCCTTTGAAACCAACGCATTCAACCCAAACACAGTAGCCACCGTGGTCAACAATCACTTCGGCCCCTTCTCATTCAACGCCGTAGCTTTTCCCTTAAAGTTGACTCCAACTAATTATTTATCTTGGAAATCACATTCAGTTGTCTTCTTGTAGGATTTGAGCTCCTCGGTTATTTGGATGGTTCTCATCCATCCCCTGTTCCCACAGAACCAAGCTACAGTCTGTGGGCACACCAGGATCAGTTAATTCGCCATGCACTAATCACTTCTGTATCCGAGAGCATTACACCATACATAGCCGCTGCAGCTACGGCACAACAGGCATGGGAAACATTAGTGAGACTCTATGCAAATTGATCTCGCACCCGTGTCATCACCCTTAAGGAGCGCCTGCAGAACATGCGTCGTGATGGTCGCTCGGTGTCTGAATATCTCCAAGCACTCAAGTCTGTGGCAGATGAATTAGGGACAATAGATCGGCCTCTCACTGATGATGATCTTATAGTCTACATATTGAATGGACTGGGACCACAATTCCGAGAGATAGCAGCCTCTCTTTGTACTCGTGATTCATCCCTCTCCTTTGATGATCTACACGATCAACTGGTGGCTCATGAGGAAAGCCTTAGGCGAGAGGAACTCAAGGCTGATTCTTCCCCAATAACTGCACACTATGCTTCAATCCCAAAGTCTATGTCGCCATCACAGGTTGGTTTTTTTCCGCCCACCTCAAACAATCGTTACTCACCTTCAACTTCTTCACAGAATCGCAGAGGTGGAAACTCATATTAGCAGAGGCCCAACAACAGAAGGCGCGGTTCATTCTCTAGGCCCAATAACATTAGTCGACCCACTTGCCAGTTATGTAACCAGGCTGGTCACTTTGCCCAAAGTTGTCCCTATCATCGGATCCATAATCTGAACCCCCAAGCCAACTTTGCTTCTTCTGCTGCGACAGTTGCTGATGATTGGCTCTTAGACTCAGAAGCAACTAATCATGTAACCACTGATTTGGCAAACCTTGCACTCCACTCTGAGTATCATGGTCCTGATGAACTCTAAATTGGTGATGGAACAAGTTTGAATATTACACATGTTGGTCATACCACACTCTCTATTCCCTCTTACTCCCTTCCTTTAAAAGACATATTATGCGTTCCCCAAGCATCTAGAAACTTAATCTCTATTTCTCAATTATGTAAAAGTGTTGATGTTTTTGTCGAATTTCACCCCACTTTCTTTTTGGTGAAGGATCGTCGCATGAGGGAGACACTGTTGCGAGGCAAAAACACTCATGGGGTCTATCACATCCCCGGTCAAGTTAAAGCACAACCTGCAGCCCTAGTTGGAGAACGTGTTAGTTTGTCAAATTGGCATTCGCGTTTAGGTCATCCTTCTACGAAGATCATTAAAACTATTGTTAAAAATTTCCATTTACCTATTTTTAATAAAATGAGTTCCCTTTTCTGTGATTCGTGTGCATGTTCCAAAAGTCACAAACTTCCATTTTCAAAGTCATCTATTACAAGCACGCATCCTTTAGAGCATGTCTACTCTAATGTTTGGGGTCCAGCCCCAATCACTTTTGTGGACGGATTCCAATATTTTGTTTTGCTTATTGAGTTTTTTAATCGCTACATATGGATTTTTCCACTCAAACAAAAATATGATGTTTCTCTAATTTTTCCCAAATTTAAGACTCTTGTGGAAAATCAATTTGGCCACAAAATTAAAAATTTTCATTCTGATGGTGGGGGTGAATTTATTGCCATGCGTGGTTTTCTCTCTCAACAAGGCATCTCTCATTTTATTTCTCCGCCTTACACTCTTGAATTAAATGGTATCAGTGAACGTCGTAACCGTCATATTGTAGAAACTGGTCTTGCCCTATTGCACCATGCGTCCCTACCTTCCGCTTATTGGTCTCGTGCTTTTCAAACTGCGGTGTATCTAATTAATAGATTGCCCACTGCAGTGCTCTCTTCTTTGTCTCCCTTGGAGAAGCCTTTTAAAATTAAACCCAATTATTATAAGTTGCGTACCTTTGGGTGTTTGTGCTATCCTTGGCTTCGTCCTTATAACACAAACAAATTACAATTTGATCTAGCCCTTGTGTTTTTCTTGGCTATTCACATGAGACTTTGGGTTGCAAATGTTTGGATTTACAATCTGGAAAAATATATACCTCCCGTCATGTTGTTTTTCAAGAGTCTACTTTCCCATTTAAAAATTCCACTTTCTTGTGTGATGCCTCTAATTCCTCACCAGCTTTTCATGACATGCCAATGATGCCAAACTCCACGAGTGCAGGTATGAGTGTTGAGCCTCCTCCATTGTTCCCTTGTGTACCGACTCACTCTCATCGCCCATCTAAGTTCCATAATGTCCAACAAAGCCATGAGCAACCTTCAGCTTCTATTTACCCATTATCTACCCTGGTGCCCACTAGCACACCCTCTCCACTTCCTTCCCTTACTTCACCATCCTTTCCCATTGAGACCAATTCTGTTCACCAGTCCCCTACCCCATTCGATTCCCACTCCTCCCCTCTTAGGTCCCCACCACTGCAACCTCCTTGGACTCACCCTATGGTCACTCGTTCCCAAAACAATATTTTCAAACCTAAGACACTCTTCCATGCAACCAAATCTCCATTGTCCCTCCCTGTTGAACCCACTTGTGTCACACAAGCTCTTAAGGATCCCAATTGGAGGCAGGCTATGTCCGAGGAGCTTAGTGCATTGGTTCACCAAGGAATATGGGAACTGGTTCCTTCACACCCATCTCAACATGTTCTTGGTTCCAAATGGGTCTTTCGCTTGAGAAGAGGCAAAGATGGGTCCATTAAGCATTATAAGGCGCGTCTTGTTGCGAAGGGCATTCATCAACGACCAGGTTCTGATTACTTTAATACTTTCAGTCCTGTTATTAAGCCTATCACAATTCGTATTGTTTTATCTCTTGTAGTGAGTAGGGGGTGGTCTATTCAGCAATTAGATGTTAATAATGCTTTCCTTCATGGACACATTGATGAGGTATTATACATGCAGCAACTGACAGGCTTTGTGGATCACAATTTTCCTTCACATGTTTGTAGGCTACGACAATCTTTGTATGGCCTTAAGCAGGCCCCTAGAGCCTGGTTTCGAGCTCTTAAGGACTTCCTTTTGGCTCAAGGCTTCTTTCACTCTAAGTCTGACAATTCCTTATTTATCTATCATAAAGGCTCCACTTGGATCTATTTTTTGGTCTATGTCGATGATATCATTGTTACTGGGAATGATTCTGCTGCAATTCAATCCATTGTGCAAGTCATGAGTGCCACTTTCTCCCTCAAAGATCTTGGTCCCTTGAGTATTTTTCTCGGCAGAGAGGCACTATCTACTAAGGATGGGCTTTTTCTCTCTCAACAGAGGTATATTCTTGATCTTCTTCAGAAAACTAGTATGGGTGATGCTAAACCTATCTCTAGTCCTTTGGCTTCTACTTCGGTTCTGCAGCTATCCACTGGCACTCCCCTCTTTGATGGCACCACTTATAGGAAAATTGTTGGCTCTCTTCAGTACCTATCTCTTACGTGGCCTAATCTATCCTTTGTTGTTAGTTGCTTGTCTCAATTTATGCATCGTCCTACTGATTCTCATTGGCAAGCTGTGAAACGCGTTCTCCGTTATCTTCGCGATTCTGTCTCTCACGGCTTACTTTTGCAACCCCAGCCAACATTGTCACTCCATGCATTTTCTGATGCTAATTGGGCCGGAGATCGGGATACTTATACCTCAACCACTAGCTATCTTATATTTCTTGGCAGCAATCCTATGTCCTGGCGCACTGCTAAGCAACGAGCAATTGCTCGGAGCTCTACTGAGGCTGAGTATCGAGCTTTAGCTATTGCTGCCTCTGAAGTTGTTTGGATTCAACATTTGCTTTCTGAATTGGGTGTCTCCTCGTCTGTTCCTCCAGCCATTTTTTGTGACAACATTGGTGCCACCTATCTTAGCAGTAATCCTGTTTTTCATTCTCGGATGAAGCACATTGCAATTGATCTTCATTTCGTGTGTGAACTAGTTGATCAGAAGGTTCTACATGTTTCACACATTTCTTCTCATGATCAATTGGCTGATGTTCTTACCAAGGCCCTTCCCTCTCTTCGGTTTCATTCTTTGAGGTCCAAGATCGATGTTGCCGATGGCACCTCCGTCTTGCGGGGGCATATTAAGGCAACTGAATCTGCTATAGTAAAGTAGGAAACTGAATCTGCTACATAAAAGTAATTACCCAGGATTGTATATTTCCAATTAATGTGTATCTTAGATCTTATTCTAGTCTTATTAGAATTCCTGTATATAGTAGGACAATCTTGTATATAAACACATCTTGTATGGTTGAATAATACAAACAGAAACAGAGTTTCATACCAATCTGCTGCTATATTTATGAGGGAAAGCTTTATAGATAAGATTGGTTATTTAGGGAAGGGTATTGGTGTATGCAGGAGGATGTGCATTAGTTTCTTATTCCTTTCCAGTGCTTCTTTATCTGCCCTTCTGATGTCCTATTTGTTGTTTGCAAGTAAGATTGTTGATAGCATACAATTAGTGTTGAACTGGTTAGATGGGATAGATGGTAGTATGGGTTGTTTGTTATCTTGGGAAGTGATATGGAGTGGAAGGAGTTGTTTGTAACACAGGCCCCCTATATTTTCCATATGAGGATACAAACCAGCAAACCCAAGCACTGTTAAAGGATGGAATTCAGCCTCAAGCTGCTTCATGTTCTCTCCAAGCTCATGATGCTTGCTGCCCCTATCTTTTTCATCAGGACTTTGAAGTTTCAACCTCATGTGCAAACCCTAGCTACATGGGATTTGGCTTTGGCTTCAATCCCTGCACACACACACACACAAAAAAAAAAAAAAAAATACCGCATTTAAACCTGAAGGTGGACCTTCAAGCAAGGTCCATAAATGATAAATGTCACCCCACATAACGGTGAGGTCTATAATGCAGATCTACGAGGTCCATAAATTCATGTAGCTAACTGCCAAGTTTCCATGATTCCATCACATGCAACCCTTCAATAGGTAAGAGAAATGTGTTTATAAGTTTCACAAATTTTATTTTAATCAATAGTTATTAATTCTACTTTAGATTAAATAAAAATACTATAATTATAATATTATATGATATTATAAATTTATAATATAATATATTATTATATAATTGATTTTTTTATTTGAGTACATCTATGATATTATATATATTTATTTAATACCATATTATGTTTATTTAATATTATATTATAATTATAAAATTACAAATAATTATACATAATATTGTAATTATAATATTATCATGCGTTAAATACATACTCTTTTGGCTGATTGTGTGTTACTTCTGTTGAAATGCACAAGCCATTTGAAGAAATACCGCACGCAACAACAGTGGCAAGGCTAAAGTGTGGAATGGAGATATGGTTATCCGTTTTGCTGATGCGTATAATGGTTGTGCATGTATTGTATTTTGTTCTGCAATACTGTTGGGTAGTTGTTTGAGGGGCATGGACCATATCATATTTAGGTTTGGTTTTGTTAGTGACCTGCATTTTTTTTTTTAAAACATTTTCTTCGTACTCTTTTCATGAATGCATCTAATTTTATTTTTTTTACAAGAGTAATGGTTAAGAAGTTAATTTGAATTAATTGTTAACAACTGTGGATTCAATCTCCAGATCGGATGAACATTACACCCCTCAAATGAGGCGCGCAATCATCGGGCTGCATTGGTGGAGTTCAAGACAGTGGTAAAATTCGAAACTCCGACCACCTCACCCAAACACTTAAGGGTTGGGGTCGAATCATTAAACCTAAAAGTCCAGATCATGAATGCACCTAATTGTTCCTGGAATGTCTAGTTTTTAAATTGAAATATAATTTGAAAATAACTTTTTCTTAACCACTTATACTTTTAAATGAATAAAACCAGAAGAGTATCATTTGTATTCTTTATAATAAATTTATCTTTCAATGAAAAAAAGGAAAAAAAAGAATCTCGCCATCACCTCACTTTTCTATGAAATTAATAGTTATTGTTTTGTTAATTATTTAAATAATTTAGTGATTTTTTTTATTAAAAATAAAAAATTATGAATTTAAATCATATGATATATGAGTGGAGTAAAATAAAAAACAAAAAATAATTATCTATTATTATATAATCAAGATAAAAAAAAAAAAAAAATTTCCTCGTTCCATCTGTGACCTGTGATATCCCCTGGAGTGGTGTTGGTTTGCGTGGAAGTTGGTTTTCATCTTATTATTAATCAAAGTTCGAGATATTGTCTCGCAATCGATTTTAAATTATCAGAGTTTGAGTTCTATATTCTCCGTACTCTTTCGTGAATGTACCAAATTGTTTGGGGAGTGTGCATTTTTAAATTGAAAAACAAATTAAAGATGATTTTTTTATATTATTTTTGATATAATTTTATGTATTATTTAAAAGATTAATTTTTTATGTATTCATAATTTGTAATATTAAATATATTTATTTATTTAATAATATATAAAAATTATATAAAAAATTATACAAAAAAATTATTTATGTATTATTACCTTTTAAAATTATTAAAAAAAAATTAATCTCTCAACATACATAATTGGCTTAAAAAATACTTTAAGCATAAAAAAAGGATAGGAAAATGTAATTTCCCCATTTCTAACGGACCCTTTTTTTTTTCTACAATTAGAATATCTTAAAACTAATATACATATATTTTAAAATTAATTCTTTTTTGATCTAAAAACATATTATTTACATCAAAATTAAAAACTTTATTAAAAATTATCTTTCTATTAATTTCTTTAAAGAAGTGGAAAGTAAGCTCCTTCCTAAATAAACAACTCTTTTTTTTTTTTGGTACAAAATAAACAACTCTTTGGATACCTACAAAACCAAACCAAAGCCGATATTCCTTTACTTGCTTCATTTTTTAAATTTAATACTCCATCTCACCTAGTATTATAGGTTTTTTTTTTTTTTATGATGTGTCATATGATAAATTATATAATAAAAAATAAAATTTTTTAAAAAATTTCTTCACTTATTTTTAAATTTAAATTTAAAATCTCCAAAATAAAAGTTTAAAGTCTTAATCATTAAAATGTCTTTTAATATTTTTTTTTATTTTACTTTCATATTAAGGATTTAGGAATAATTTTTATTTTTTTATTTATTTTATTTTTAAAAAAATAAAAATAAAGAAATTTTTTTTACAACTTATAAATAATTAAAGTTAAGAAATAATTATAATATTAAAAT